TCTCCTATAAACATAATGAGGTTTTCCAGTTTAGCCAATGACCAGAGGACACATTTGCATAGAGGAGATTTCGAAACCGGGACAAATTAAAAGGTCTCAATTAAAACCAAACTGCTTGAGGAAGAGTTAAATTTCTGAACTTCTTCAAACACGCCATACTTCAAACTGGCTTCGAAATGATAGATGAAATTTTCTGACTCTTCTTAATCTCATCAACATGTAAAACCTAATTTACAAATGCAACAGAATTAAGAGCGTAATATTTTTTTCAAAGTGGAAAAACAAAGGAGAAACCACAATTTGAAGGGGAAAGGAGAGAACCAAATGGGCTAAGGCAGGTCACAAGGACTCCTCTCTCTTTCTCTTTTAATGTTTGGAACAATCCACCTGAAGGAGAATTGGTGGACATAACTATTTCCTTTTCTCCTGCATCTTTCACCTGTTCTGTGGGGGATCAGTGACCTCCTCCTTCCCTTCCTCTCAAGGAAGAGACCAGGCGTTTCAGGAGCCACATCTGGCCACCCTTTGGCCTGTTATTATTTGCAGAATGACGAAAGTGCAACAGCAGCTCCTACTGGCCACTAATTGTGCAACATCTGTATCATCCCCACCTGCACTGAAGACATGTAGCCCTTGTGTTCCCTTGAGGACTAGCATCCCCTTCTCCTCATATACCAGAAAAGGAACAGGAAAAAAAACAAGTTGAAAGAGAATGAGAAAGTGCCTTCCTTCCTTAATTCCCTTACAGAAAACGTCACAAAGCCCCCCTTAATATTTTTAACCTTTTGATTTGAAGAAGAACATGTTATGTAGAGATTATATGTAAGTCTGGAGCATGGAGCTTCTCTGAGCTTCCCCTTCCCAATTTTATTGGTGTGCTTGAGGATGAGATAAAGGGGACACCTGTTCATCAGGTGGGTTTTATTCTTTTGGTGGCTGAGCTATATCTCCTGGTAAGAACATTGAGCAGATGTTCGGTAAAGTTCAACATCTACTATAGGAGAACCACATATGATTGTGGAAATCTTTACCAAGGGTTCATCCCGACATCCTATATATTGGTACAAACAAGTCCCAGTGATCCCTTTTTAACCAATGTCTTCATATACTCCCTTGAATCCCAATTCCAAACAAGTGTTGAAGCACCTGCAAATCATCTCCAGCTTCTCCAATGTCACATCTTCCTCTTCCAACATTTGTACTTATAACACAGAAGGAACTGAGGCCAAGAATCTCTTGGCTTCCCTGCACCCTTCTCCTCCCGACTCCTATGCCCATCATCCTCCATCCTGGGCATTGAGGAACTTCTCTGCAGAAAGTGATGAACTGGCAGGAATTTCTCTCTTGCTTCATCAGTTTGAGCGTCCCAGTCATAGATCAATGTATGTTGCTTGTGGTTTCATTCTCAAGAGGAAGAGTGAAGGTTTTTGTCACACTTCCCCATAAGAATTCACTACTGTGAAACGCAGTACCAGCACTATCCAAGCTACCACAGTAATAAACTGCCTCGTCTCCAGCCTCTGCATTGGTGATGGCCAAAGATCCTGTAGTCCCAGATCTGGTTGCAGTGAACCGATTTGGGATCCCTTCTCCCCTGCTACTGCAGCCATCACAGTGGACAAAAACCTTCTCCTGCTTTCTGTTGATACCA